CACAATAGGAGTTTTGTAACCTAGAGTCAAAGGAGAGCTGGTGCCCACTTGGAAATGGGCCATGTGTGTATCTGTGTGTGGTTTAGGAAGGGACACTACAGGGTTGGGATCCAAGAAGTGATGATGAAAAGAAAGCTTTTTCTGTGGGAATGAGGGAAAAGGATGGGTATGGAAAGGGGTTGAGAAAATGATTCTGGGAGTAGGTAATTCCATTTCACCTTCTCATGGGGCGACACGGACATGGACATGGTGCCAGGCATTGCTGAGCACACCTCGCAGGTTCCAGATTGGGGCCACCGTGTCTGGTTGCACATTGTAGCTGTCATCTACAGCCTTACAAACAATGTTCAATTCCTTCTTCCCAGCTGGCACAGAGGCTTGCAGCTGCCACAGCCTCCAGGCCCAGGCCTTTCGGGGGCGCTGTTCCTCTCCATCCAGCTCAGCCACCTGCCAGGTTAGGCCCCCATCCAGAGACACATCCACCCTGACCACAGCCCTCCCACCACCACTCCACGCATAGCCCTTGATAGTCACCTCCCCTGATTGCACAGTCTCCCCATCCTTGGGCTCTGTGATGGCCGACTGGACAGGAAGTTCCTGAATAGATGGAGCTGAGTCAAAATCTACTGTGTCCCAGTCCACAGATGGAGAGAAGCCTTTGTAATCCCGTCGCTGCCAGTGACTGTAACTTTCCTCTGGTTCCACACTCACTTTGCCCAGCCATTTGACATGGCGGGCACCCACCACACCAGGCACCACCACCCGCACAGGAAAGCCATGGTCTCGAGGCAGAGGCTGCCCATTCATCTCATATGCCAGCAGGACCTCAGCTTCAGGGTCCATGGCCCGAGCCAGAGGGATGGATGCTCCGTAGGCTGTCCCTGTGGGGTCTGAGTCCAGTCCCTCAAAGCAGACATGGGCCTCAGTTTCACAGAGTTGGTGACCAGCCTTGGCTAACACATCACAGAGGCGTGCCCCAGCCCAGCGTGCAGTGCTAATGGCCCCCGTGTTCCACTCCAGACCTTTGACTTCTTTGAACCGAGTCATCTCAGAGCGTCGGTTGCCGGCGCACTGAAGAGTGACTGTGATCTCATGCTTAGGGAACTGGTACAAGTCATTCAGGGATAGGGACAGTGACTGACCCTCAGGTGGCCCTACTACATGCAGGCGATAGGTTTCTGGGTCCAGGTTAGGTACAGGCAGATGGTTTCGGGTGAAGAAGATAGGGTTAGGTGTGATATAGTTTTCTGTCAGCAGTTCAGGGGGGGGCTCTGCATTAAAGGGGCGCTGGCTGTTGACCTTCAGGGCTGGGTGACGGACAGGATCATCACTGTAAGGGTCAGAGGTCTTCAAGGTAAAGGGCTCCTTGTCTTCAGGGCTCAGCTCCCCGACCTTGTACTGAGCCAGTAGCTCACGCACGTGGGGCTGGTTATGAACGGCATAGAGGGCCCAGAAGGGCTCTAGAGGACCCCCTGCTGCCAGCATCAGCTTTGACGGCCCCCCTGGGTGTAGGTCCACAAATTCTGTAACATCAAACACCTCACAGCCCAGAGTCACCCAGATCCTAGTCTCAGGGCTGCTGTGAGCTCTTACTTCCTCTCTCGTGTATAAGTGTGGTGATTCCTGAGCAGCCTGCGGGCAGGGCAAACAGAAAAGAAACATACATAGTAAGAAGGAATCACTCTAGCTCACCCTACCCTAACCCTTAAAGTCATGGCCACTGTGAAACAGAGGTAGCAGACTCCATCTTTACTCTGCAGGAAAGCACTTAGGACCATGGGCTCTGTGTTCATAGCCTGGGTTTCCGGGGAGCATACTAGGGCCCCTTTGTTCTGACAGTGAAGTCCCTTCCTTCCCCCACTTACCCTGCACCGGTGGTCATGATAGGCCAACACCGCACCCAGGCCTAGCAGAGTCCCCATGACTCTCCATCCCCTCGTGCTGGAGTTATCACCAGAGAAGGCAAGGCTGGGATACTGGGGCTGAGATGAATCATTTGTAGAGCAGGCTTGAATACAGAGCCTTGAGGGGACTAACTTGAGTCTGGAAGAGAGAGAGGGCTTAGCACAGTTCCAATCATATGAAAGGGACAGTGAAGGCTTAGCGTTTACCAGGTTGGCCACTGGTTCTTCCAGTTGGGACTTTGTTTGTCCAGGGATGGGTGGGGCCAATGGGTGAATTATGGCTTTCACTTTCCTCCCTGGTAGCCATCATCTCAGCTATCTTATCTGGTAGATAAAACATCATAAAGATACTAGGAGTGGGGGATATGGGCTATGAGATGAGTTCTAGGATGGATGGCCTACCTGCAGGCCTGTCGGAAACGTGGGATCATAGCCCTCTGCAGCAGCATTGTGGCAGACCTGTGGGAAAAGATTCCAGGATCAAGACAGGGAGTTCTAGAAGGGGATGATCTTAGGTCATCCTAAAGGGATGCAGAGAAGGTCAGCAAGGTGTTCCCTGGGCAAATGAGGAGAGTTTTTCTGGGGTAATCAGGCCAAAGGATGGGAATGCATGTGTGTGTGTGGGGGGTGCCCAAATGGGTCCTTAGATAAAACGTAATGAACTTCAGAGACTGTGCTGACAGGATGGAGGAGAATGGGGCTGGTGAGGGGGAGGGGCTGTTTGGTCTTCTAGAATCACCTATCTCCCATCTTCCATTCTCTACTTTGTCCACTACAGAGAACAATGTTTGGGGCCAAGGGCCTAAAGGACAGAAGTCAAAATATCTACTACCCAGGTGGCTGATTTATCATTTCCAAAGTCAGCAGAGGACAACTGAGGGGCAGACTAAGGGACAAAACGGTGGAAAAGGTGGTGGGAACCTAATGGGAAGAATGAGCTCAGATTCTGGAGTTGAACTGCCTCCGGTTTGTGAAACTGGCTCTGTTAACCAGCCCCACTGCCCGGGCAAGATACCAAGCCTCTCAGACCTGTGTCCTCATCTATGAAATGAGATCTACCTCGCAAGGTGGCTGTGAGGAGCAAACAAGTAACACCGTCTTTGAAGGCCTTTCAGTCCCCTCCTTTCCTCTGCCAACGTAGGGGAAAAAGATAATGCAACCCAGCTGGGAACTGGAACCCCACCCAAGGTTTCCACCCCTACCTTGTCTGTGCCATTCCCAGGAACTCAGCAAATTGGGAAGTTAATGGCTCCGGTGTCAGCGAAGAAGTCATTTTTGGCACTGTGGCCCGCAGTTCCTTCCTCAGAACACTGAGCGGATCACTGACCCAGGAATGCCAAAATAGGGAAGAGGGAGAAGAGTGCCCATTGCTGGGGAAAAGCTAAAGAGGGGGGGCAGGCCGGGAAACTGCCAGGGCCACAGGAGCAGGAGCGGCGCCTGCACTGTACTCCGGGCCGCGGGATCCTCACCTGTCCCACCTGCCCTCGATGCCGGCGGCCCCCTGACCCAGGCTAGCGTGGCGCCGGCAGCGCTGACTTACAGGCGAACTCGGTCAGCGCGGAGTCCCAGGCTTGGGAGAAGCAACCTTCCGCTCCAGGACAGATGGCACACCTGCCGTGCGGGTGGCGGCCGCTCGCTCCGCAGGGGCTCCTGAGCGGGGAGGCTCGTGGGCCGCAGCACAGCACCCGGAGCCACTGCCCAGCTCACGCGCGGCTCGAGGCAGACACCTCGCCCGGGACCAGCGGGGCGGCGGGGGCGGAGGCGGCACCGGCGGTTTTGTTGGAACGCATGGGGTGCGGGGCACCCCCGGGTCCCGAAGGCCTGGCTGCTCCCCGGCTGGCACCCTGCCCCCTTACCGGGTTCGGCGTCCGCGGGCCTCGCGGTGGCTTGCCCGCCGGCTCCAGGCGACTCGGCCGAGGGGCGGGGCGAGCGCGCTGACGCGGGCCGGCCCCAGGACCACTCGGTCCGGCCCCGGCCATTGGCCGCCTCCACGCCGCTTTGCCCGCCCCCCGGAGGCCCGGGCAGGCGGGGCGCCCCGAGGGCTCGGAGCTGAACCTGGCGGTTATCTTCATTCCCCGCTCGACGAGGAATGGGACCCTCACTGTGACGGGGACGAGGACTCCAAAGGTGGGGCTGAAGGTGGGAGGTTTTGAGATGCCCCCGCCCTGCCCCTGCAGCTGAGACACAAGGTGCGTTCCCCGAGGCGGCCTGGAAATCCCGCCGGCTTGCTCCCGGCCGCGAGCTCCGCCTCCACCCTGTTTTTGACAAACGTGTGTTGCAACTATTTTACAGCCCTTGTTTGTCTTTTGGCGAAAACAAGGTCAAGCGCTCAATTCTCTTACATCCAGCAAGAGGAGAAATGAAGCCTAAATAAGTGGTTCAAAGACTTCGAGATCCCTTGGACTTGTCGATTTTCTTCCCAAATCATGGAACCAACAATATAACCATTTTTTTCTTAGTTAAGGCAATTGAAAAAATAATTGGTCATGACGAGAGCAATAACATTGAACAACCCCAAAGTAGGAAGATTATAATCGCTCATTATCTCAGAGAGTCACTAAGAAGATGTTTGCAATTATCCTTTATCCTTTGGTGCAGGACTGAAAATTCATTTTGTCATTGGCCGACTGTGAACCTGGGGCAAACGTATCCACACTGCCCTCTGGAGCTCAGAAGCTTGAACTACAACCTTACTCAGTGGTAATTTTGGAAGATCATTTCCTCTCCCTTTCTGGTCTCCTAAAATGAACTAGAGCTGTTGCCAGGAATCAAGGAAACTTAAGGGGAAATACTAAGAGACAGAAGGAAAGGGGAACTGACAGGGAAAAGGTGATTTTTGCCTAGAGGTTTTTGGAAAGAGAAAGATTTCCAACTCGGCTGTGTTCGATTAAATCATTCGAGAGCTGTGATGCCCAATCTATCCTTCCAGTCTTGAAAAATCGGCTCACAGCCCAGGGATACAGAGAAATCAGTTAGGGACTTTCTGAAGCCACAGAATAAAACTTCTTCCTAATAACAGTGTGACCTTGTGTGCCCCACACATACTTTACATAATTGACCTTTAAATCTCAACTTTTCTTCATTTTACAGAAGCTGAGGCAGAGAGCAGCTAAATAACTCGATCAAGGCCACAGTTGGTAAGTTGGTAGATGGGACTGCAATGCCAGCTCTGTGTGGCACCAGTCCTCTTTCCTGTGCTTTTGCAACCATACCCAATCTTTCTCTGTATCATTCTCCCCATCCACCTCCGCTTAGACTGTGATGGACTGAAGGGCTTCAAGTATAGGAGCAAACAAGAGCAGATCTAAGAGAAATCTTCCTGTTGGGGTAGAAGCCACATGATCAATTAAAAACACAAATTTAATGATTTCTTTAACCTTCTTTAGGTCACAGACCCCTCTGAGATACTAACAAGGCAATGTACCCCTTCCCTGGAGAAATGCATATAAACTTCAGCATAATACTTCAAAGGATTCACAAATACCACCTCTCCCTCCAGTCTCATCAGTTGTCTGCCCAGAGATCCATAGACCCCACGCCCCTACCCCTCACCCCGCCAATATATATTCTGTTAAAGAGGCCTACAAAAATAAGCTAGGTCGGATTTGATGAGCTCTCTAGTGGCCTGGGAATAGGAGTTTAATGGCAATAAAGGGAATATTTTCCAAAGTGGGCTATCTCATTATTGAAGAAAAGATTAAAGGGAATAAGGATATACCCAAGATGTAGGAAAGGGTTTGTTTCTGACTTAATAAAACATTCCAAATTTCTTGTATCAGACAAAATAGCAAAAAAATAAAAATAAAGGAAAAAAGGAAAAAAAAAAGAAAAAGAAAGAAAAAAGCAACACTCCAATACACTTTTCTTTTCTTTTTTTTTTTTTTCCTTTTTTACTTACATTAAATACATCGGTAAATCAGCAGTCGCATTCTGTTACCACGATTGTTACGTTGGGAAAGGAAGAAAAGGGGAAAAAGGCAAATGCTTTCTTAGAAGAAAAAAAAGGACACCCCCCCTAAAAAAAACTGATCAGAAAAAAAAAAAAAGAAGAGCTGGTAAATAAAAACTAAGATCCCCAAGCCCGAGAGAGCTCAAAGGAAAGCAAAAGAGCTGGTAGGAAATCGAAGGAAGGCAGCAGATGGCCCAGAAGCTGAGGCCAATCCTGTTCCTAAGGGGGCTGGGGAGGGGAGAAGGCTGGAGAAATGCTTTCCCAGCCCCAAGGCAATGAAACACTTCACTCCTGTTCCATGGGGAAAGATGCAGAGAAAACAAAAACAAAAACAAAACAAAAAAACTTCATTTCTAAGGAATTTAAGAGAGCTATCCTAGTTCTTCCACTTACAAGGATGCACTGGGTGCTTTGTGGGGCTGGTGGGTGCTGGGAAAGGAAGGGGAAAATATATGTGTGTTTCAGGGCCACGGGAACTAAGGCTGCCCCTGGAAAAGAAAGGGAAATGAGTCCTAAGTGGAAGAACCTAAGCTGGGTCCTTCAGAGTCTCAGCTCCAAGGATCTCTCAGCTGCTCTGGGACAGAAGGCAGTCTGTAAACCAAAGGGCAGAAAGGTTCCAATCCTAGGTCACCATGACTTTTCCTATCTTACTTCTTCCTCCAATTTTCCCCAAACTCTGGGCTGGAACCAAGAAGGAGTTTAGAGTTCTCTCTTGCCTTGATGGCTTCTCAAAGACATCCTAAAATACCTGATGAGGGATGTGAAGAGTGGCTAGAGATTTAGAAAGGACCATATGTCCTCGGGTAATGTGAGACAGTTGTGATGGACCTTCAGTGCCAGCTGTTGTTTCCTGTCCACAGGAACAGGTGTTACCATATGAGGGAGCCACAAGTAGGCCTCTGTGGTATTAGCCTCTAGTGGTATGTGGATTAAACCACTGGCTGGGGGTGGGTCTGAGGATAAGGATGGAGGAACTAAACCGAAGGTACTAACAAAGGAGAAAAGATCTAGGGCCTGATGGGAGGTGGAGGACAGAACAGACTGTACAGTGGGAATAAAGATCATATCTATTTACAGGGAAGTAGAAAAGACATGGTAATGGGTAGATCAAATTGAATGTGAACCTTAGGAAAGGAGAGAAAACTCCTCTCTCTTTCCTAACCCCTCTTTACTCCCATACCATGGCCTAGGCTATCCTGAGACCACTCTCCAGTTGCTCAGTTAATTCCCCAGGAAAGGCAAACCTATACTCTTGAGAGCTAGGTTGGCAAGAATATAGGTTAAGAATCAGAGTTGGAGGAAGCAAGCAGTGGAGACTGGGCTTGAGTAGCTGCCACTGGTTCTGTTCTCTTAGCCCCTCCCAAAACCTCATATATATACTACCTTGGCTTTCATTTAATTAAAAAGGTGAGAGGGCAGGTAAATCAATCAAAACCCCCATAAAACAAGTATCCCAACTGAACTACCACCAATTAAAGTGCAAACTGCAGGGGAATAGAGTGGCTGGGGCTGAGGCCATCTAAAGGCCAGAGAAAAAAAAATGCGTATGTATAAATCAGAGGATGGGTATCAGAAACTGGTCCCTCCTCTAATTAGATCACAGCAGAGCCAAAGATGCAGGCAACCAGTGAAGATTCTTTGGAGGACTCTGGGGTCCAGAGTCTCCCCCACTATGGGGGAGGAGCTACCGAGGCTGGGTGAGGGGGATATTAGGCCTTGGAACAGTTCCAGAGCCATAGGTACACTGCATCTCCACCTCCTCCACCTCTGCCCAGTTAGCTAACAACAATTCCTACCTGGTACCCGAGAGCTTGCCTTCCCATTCTCACCTCTACCTGGAAACACCCTCCACAAAGCCAACTCATGGAGGCTGCAGTGTTTTCAAATATGAGAGACTCCAACCAAAAAGAAACAAAAAGGAACTGTTTCCTTACTCCCTCCTGCTCTGAGCCTTACTCCCCATCCCTGCCCCCCAGGGCCCTTAATGTGACTGAACTGGAAACCTCCTTCCTCAGTTCCTGGGTTCACCACCTTCTCCATCCTGGGGAGAGGAGGAAAAGGGGATCAAGAACAGGGATTGACCAAAAGCAGAAGGGGAAGGGGCAGGAGACAAAAAATGTTTTCTGAAAAAAATGAGGAGGAGGAGGAGGAAAGATAAGTAGGTCACTGTCTTGCACCTATAATACAAAGTGAAGAAAGTTTGTTTTGGAAGGTAAGTCCTGGGGGGTCTGACCCCCAAACCCAAGTAGGGGTAGGAGGCCAGTGGCAACAGCTGCCTGGTGTTGGTTGCTGAAGCGTTAAAAAGTGCCATGACGGAGCTGTCAGGAGGCAGCCCTTGGGAGCCAGGGCTCAGTGTGCTGTTACCGTAGGGGCTGTGTGCTGAGGGGTGGGGATGGAGGTTATTTCTTAGCTCTCGTGCTAGCTCCATAATTGTTTGCTGCTAGCCACCCCCTCAGTTGCTACAACACTGGCTCTTGTTCTGCTGGGACTGCTCATGGAGATCCACACCCCGGCTTCGGCCTGCTGCACCCCCCAGATTCTGGGGTTCACTCTTTGGCAACTTCTTAGCTAGAGATAAAAAAGAGAAGGGAAAAAAAGTATGGTAGATTTTACTCATCCCTCCAAAGGACTATGGGTGGGGTAGAGATAGGGAAAGGAGAAATGTGAGAGATTAAAAGAATGTTGTGAAGAGGGAAAGGTTAACTGTTAACTACATGGAAGATGAGGGGTAAAGCTGCAGCCAAAGGACTGAGGTCGTAATGGAAAGTTAAGATATTTCCATACCTAAAATTTTTACAAGAGGAGACATTCCCCTCTACCTTTATGATTTGGGTTAGTGATCTTATCTAGAGGCACAGGAAAAGGACAGGAGGACCCCAGGCTGCTCTAACCTTACCTATAGCCAGGAAGAGATCGTTCACGTTCATAGCTGTCTTGGCTGAAGTCTCCATAAACAATAAGCTGTTGTCATCCGCATACGCCTGGGCCTCCTACAAGGGGTGGATGTATTGGTACTCAGAATGTAGGGTAGGAACAAGGAATTGGGTAGGATTTGGTAGGGTAGGAACAAGGAATGGAAAGGCTCTGAGCCACCTGGCCCTGGACCGATATTTTGGTAACAACTCCCTCAAGCATAACTCATGGTCTAGACAGCTTAATCCAACAAGCAGGAATCTTAATTATGAGGGAGAAGGTAAGCTGGTTGGGGGCATTTAGGTTGTGACACTTGAATAGTCCCTTAAGTCAAATTCTACTGCTCCCTCTTTCCTGTTTTCATGTTGGTACCCCCATAGTTGGTATTTCCCTGCCCCTCTGCTCTGAAATTTTCTTCTGTCTCCTCTAAAACGCCCTGGCTATCATTAGGGTCCCAGTGTTGCTGTATTTGACTTGGTGTGGAACTGGAGAATGAAATGATAAATGTCCTCAGATGAGGTTTTCAGAGAGGGCAGGTTGGAGGGAAAAAAGGTCCCAAGCACAGAAGGAGTGTGTTAGAGAGGGACTCTATGGGCCATCTTACTTCATACTCCACCATGCGCTTATTGGCCAGATCAGCTTTGTTCCCCGCCAGGGCAATAACGATGCTAGGACTGGCCTGTCGCTGTAGTTCCTTTACCCATGTCTTTGCTCGAGCGAAGGTTTCCTAGGAAAACATAAGGAAGAGAAAGTTTGGCCAGAATGACTGCCAATCCAAGCCCATCACCTTCAAAACCTAGTCTCAAAACTCACCTCTCCTAGGCAGCCTTCCCTCACTGAAAGCACCCATGTCTGATAATTTATTACCTTGGTCTTACCAGAACTTAGAAGTATAATTTGTAGTCTTATTTTGCTATTTCAAGAACAAGTTTTCTCTTCCCCACCTAATTTAATTCCTATAAATAATAAGCAAGAGAATCTTCTCAGCCCACTTACCTGATTAGTAATGTCATAAACCACAATGGCAGCTTGGGCACCCCTGTAGTACATGGGGGCCAAGCTATGGTATCGCTCCTGCCCAGCTGTGTCCCAGATCTCAAACTTGACTGTTGTGTCATCTAGACAAACAGACTGGGTGAGGAAGGCCGCTATGGATGAGAGAGTGAGGGGAAGAAATTGTAAGTGGGAGGATCAATGGGAAAATCCCAGCCCCCTTCACAATATCTCCATTCTCAGTCTAAGGGCAGTCACCACCCAGGTCATTGAGCTTAGGAA